TGCAAGTTCAAATTGAGTCTGAAGACAATTAAAATAAATCCATAAGAACCAAGATAGGATCTTGAATTTATTCCATCTGAATGTCAAGATCATCTTAAAAATAAATTTGAAACAATGAACACCAATGATTGAAGACCAGATGAGCAACAGAATGTTATCAAGGATATCATCCATGAAGAAAGTAAAACTTAATTACAAAGACAGAGGAGAAAGAAAAAACCAAAATGGATGTCAGAAGAGATTCTAAAAATTGCACTAGAGTGTCAAGAACAACAACAACAAAAGTATTATAATGGAATGAGCAGAGAGCTGGAATTGGAGAATAAGAAGGGAGGAATTCGCTCTGTATTTCTCAAGCTGAAAGAACTGAAAAGCAAATTTAAGCCTCGAATTGCAATACTGAAAGATGCTATGGGCAATATAGTGTATGAACCAAAAAACAGCAAAAGAAGATGGAGGGAATACACAGAACAGTTTATCAAAAAGAACTGAGTGGGGGAGCTCTGGTGACCTAGTGGCAAGAAGCTGTACTGCAATCCCAAAGGTACACGGTTCGAATCTACCAGATGCTCTGCCAGAGAAGGAGGGACAATTTCCTCCTGTACCAGTCAGATCTGATTTGACGGTACATGTACCAAAAAAAAAAAAAAAAAAAAGAACTCAGTGGCACTGAAAAATTTTAGGAAGTACCTTAAGAGTAGGAGCCAAAGGTAATGAAGGAGGTGTGGAAACTGCATTGAAAGCATTGGCAAAAAATAAGGCCCCAGAAATCGATGGGATACCAATAGACTTATTTCAATTAAGATACAGTCCTTTTTGTGCTCACCAGTCTCTGCCAGGGTATTTGGAGGACAGGTGTCTGGCCAACAGGCTGGAAGTCATCCATATTTGTTCCAATTCCCAAGAAAGGATCCAACAGAAAACATGGACACTACAGAACAATTATCATTACTATCACATGCAAGTAAAATTCTGCTGAAGAGCATTAAGAAATGGCTGGACTAGTATATAGATATGGAACTGTCAGAATTTCAAGCAGTATTTAGAAGAGGCTGTGGCACCGGGGATATCATTCCTCATGCCAGATGGATCCTGGCTAAAAGTAAAGAATACCAGAACAATGTCTACTAAGTGGTTTTGACTACATAAAGGCATTTGACTGTGTGGATCATAACAAATTATGGTTATCACTGAGAAGAATGAGAATCCCAGAGCACTTAATTGTGCTCATGTCTCTGGAGAACATTATGCTGAGTGAAATATCCCAGTCACAAAGGGACAAATATTACATGATGCCACTGTTGTAGAATGGGACTGTCCTTGGGGTTGGGGAGAGACTGAGTAAGATGGGTTCAATGATGTGTGCTGCACTGAGGCGGAGGAGGGAGGGAACTGTTTAAAAGAGATATATAACTGGGTGTTTCTGTCATCACAGGAGTCTAGAGCGAGGGCTACATGGTGGAGGGGACCTGGGGGTGGGGTTTGTGGAACAATGAAAGAATCTTTTCTTTTACTTTTCCATAATTTTTGACTCATGTACTTATAACTTGTTAGTCAAATTTGTGTCTTCTAGGTTGCAACACCCCCATGATACATCTTCAAGGATATGAACATGTATGGCCAAGCACAATCAATAAGAGTACATCTAAATTCCAAAATCAGTCTCCATAATAGTCTATGTGCTTCCTACTGCCAAAGGGGCCCTTTAGAGTAGTGAGAGAAGATCTTCACCCTGAAACCCACAGCGTCCCTTTTCAGCAGGAAGTAGCTAAGAGAATACGCCATCCCCTTTTCCTTATGACTCAGGGTGAAGTCTCTCTCAGGGAGGAGTGATAGGGAATGGCAAAGGACACACTGACAAAGAAGATTAATCAGAACTGGCTTTGACAAGCACTGTGGCATTTGGACAAGAACAAACTGGGAGGAGGGTAGAGAGAATGGTGCAGCGGTGAATGAATGGAAACCCAAAATCTCTGTAAATGTTTATGGAAATTAATAAAATATAATTATAGAAAAAAAAATTGTGCTCATGTGAAATCTTTTATCTAGACTAGGAGGCTGTTATGCTGACAGAGCAAAGGAACACTACATGCTTTAAAATTAGGAAGGGACCGGTGCTGGCTGAAAATCGCCTGTGACTTCATCCATAGCCACTGGTGAGAGTCAGCGCCCAGAGCCATCAGGGGCTTTAAGCTCGTTGCCCACTGCTGTGGTGTGGACAGCTGAAACCCAGGCCCCGACAGGTACCTGGGGGGCAAAAAAACCCCCCAGACTCTACTTCATGCTCTGCTGGAGAAGGAGGGGCAGTCTCCTGTACCAGTCAGATCCAATTTGACGGTACACACACACACACAATTTTCTTCTTCTTTTTTAAAAAAAGACTACTTCAGCCGTCGCAGCCCTCTGCCCGGGGCGGGCTGCCCTCGGCCCCCTGCCCGGGGCGAGCCGTCGTGGCTTTCTGCCCGGGGCGGGCTGCGCTTGGCCCCCGGCTCGGGGCGAACCGTCACGGCCCTCAGGAGCAAGAAGGCAAGCAGCTGTAACCCAAGACCACCAGTAAGGTGATAAAGCGTCCTCCCTTCCCCCCTTTATATCTACGCCCCTGTTCAGCATGAAGAAGCCAGAGAGTTGGCATCCAATTCCCAAATCAATAAGACAGTTGGTTTAATTACTATTGGAAAATGCTTGTCATTCCTCTGTAGCATCTGGTCCCCACTGGACCCTCATAATTTTCTTCACCTGCTCCCCCCACTGACCAAACTGTGCAGCTCTGCAACTGCATCCTGGCCCATCCTCACCCTTCTGCCCCCAACCCTCACCTCCTTGTACCCCCAATATGTTTTTCCCAATACAAAAAAATATTTTAAAAAAAATTAGGAAGGGAGTGCCTTGGTACTGTATTCTCTCTCCATGCTTAGTCAATCTGTATGCTGAGCAAATTGAGAAGCTGGGCTCTATGAAGAGGAGTTTGGCATCAAATAGGAAAGACAATCATCAAGAACCTGTGTTATGCAGATTACATAACCTTGTTTGCTGAAAGTGAGGGGTACTTAAAGTACTTGTTGCAGAGGATCAAAGAATATAGCCTTCAATACAGATTGCCTCTCAGTGTCAAGAAGACAAAGATTCTTACCACTGGACCAACAGGTAGCATTGTGATGGATGGAAAGGAGACTGAAACTGTCAACCGCTTCATCTTACCTGGATCTACAATTAACACCTGGTACTAGCAGTCAGGAAATCAGGAGACTGGGGAGTCTGAAGTTAGAGATCGCTCCAAGTTATTGCAGAGTTGGAGGAAAGGAATTTCAAATATGAAATATTTCAAACTGAACTTTTCATCTCTTCTACCCCTTGTCAACAGTCTTTCGCATCTCAGTTATGTAAACTTCATCCTTTCGAATGCCCAGGCTGAAGACCCAACCATCCTTAATTTATTATCTATTGCTTATGTTCCATAAAGTTTCCAAGAGCCGAATTTAGAAGCAAAGTTCCAGACCTTTCTTCTAAGGTATTTCTGGACTTGAACCTCCCAAATTTTCAGCCATTCTTGACTCTTCCACATGCACACTCAGCCCACCAACTCAGCTCCACTCATCATAGTTTAGTTGGAATCAACTCACAGATGAACCTCTACTGGTTTTTTCTCAGGTTGTAAAATATATACGAGAGGAGATTGCCTATTTTTTCCCCCAAAGGACTACTGGTGGATTCAAAACACCAGAAAGACCCAGCCTTAGGGTTACCACTGCAACTCTAAGACTTGGGCCACCAGAGCTCCCTAAACAAACCATCAAAAATTTCCTAATTCTATTCTCATTTCTCTTCTCAGCTAACATCCTAATCCAAGTCATCATCATTTCTTTCCAAATACAGTGTATAGGGACAAATAGGACATTACTGCCTTTTAACTGGTCTCACTTTAAACTAGCTTATATTTGCCTATTGCATAAGGATAAACAAAATGTAGCTTTTTCTCCTAATTACTTAAGGCCCTGGTCTACACCCTCACAGGAGTGGCTATAAAAATGAAGAGAAGCAAAAATAACTGTTCTATTTAAAAATAGAATCATTTAGTCCCACTCCATAATTCTCCCAGAAAGGTGAAGAAATGTGTTCATAGTTACATACACAATTAAAGATTATTTCAAGAAATGAAACTTACGTCTTTCATTTGCAGGCCAATATCCTTTCCAATAAGTCATGCTATTTCCCTACGGAAATGAGGAAACTGGCCAAGGAAAATCTACATCTTAGTACTGAATTACATGAGTTCCAACTTGGAGAGACTGAACAAAAGCACAAAGTTTTGGTAAAAATCTGTCACCATAACTAGCAGAATACTCTGTATTTTATATCCCACCATAAACAGTTCCAATCTTGTAACTGTACCTTTTCAAATTGCCCTGCCTCATGAAAAGCAAAAGTAAGTGAATCCCTGCTCCTTCAACCAACAAAGGCTAGGTAAAAAAGAAGATAAACTAGTTTCCTTTTGCCAGAATTCTGGCATAAAAGGATTTTGCAGGAATGCACCTCTTTGGAATCTTCCCACACTCCTGAGTTATTAAGAGTAACTCGCAAAGGCATGTCTCATACACTCCTCAAATATGTGAGCTGGCAACAACAAAAGATATTCACAAATCTTAGCCCTAGGACAATAGCTCTGTCAGTTAAGAATAGTTCTCACGTCCCTGTGTTTCTGCTCGTTTCAACTTCATACCAAAGTGTATCACAATTGGAAGAGTGAGAAAACTATACAAATGAATTCACAGAGCAGTAGAGCAATTTTAGCAAGGCACTAAAACTAATTGTAATATCTCCATATCTATAGTTACCTAAATATAAAGTGTCCCCCTCCTATTCAAAGGCCTTGCTTAGATAAGCATATTCTCCTTAGCACTCACACAGCAGAAATGACAGGTACCAAAAAAGACCAGATAGATTTTTCCATGTCAAGGCAATTTATCCAGTAAGCAGGCAAAGATCAGCATTTCAAATCTTACCTGAAGCCAAAGGTCGGATCCACTCTTTGCTATTTAGGTCAAGCCTCCAGAGGTCATTGAAGGCTGCATTGCAGCTGCTCTGGGTACAGCCTCCAAATACATACATAGACTGATTAGCATCATAATAACATGCACCTAGAAAGAAAACAATAAATGGATAACTCAAATTTTGAAACCTCTTTAATTCTTTCTCCTTCCACCCTAATTCAACCTTAAAGGGAAGAAAACTATTAACTGACCAATTATAAAGACCTAATGAGGAAACGACTCTATAACCTACTTAATAGGTTGGATAAAAGCAAATATCCTGCAGTTTATAAAAAAAAACCTAAGGAAATCTGTACTTAAGGATGTTGCATTCAAATAACTCCCTTTATGCTAAGATGCCTATAGTCTTCAAAGCTCAACTTTTTCACAGTCAGCATCCCTGTTAGCAGGTACCAAATCTCTATAATCAACCTTCTGACTTTAGGTATTTAGATATTACACTTTGTTGTTGCTGTTATGTGCCATCAACTCGCCTGTGACTCATAATGAATGACCCTATGTACAACAGCCCAAAACTCTTGCCAATCTTACTGTCTCCGACACACCTATCCCTATTACACCAGTGACTGAATCAATCCATCTCATTGAGGGCCTTCTCTCCTGTGCTGTCCCTCCACCCTCCCAAGCATGATGCCTTTCTCCAAGGACTGAGCCCGCCTTGCAACATGTCCAAAGTATGTCAGACAAAGCTTCAGAATACTTGCCACCAAGGAGCAGCCTGGCTTCACCCTCTCCAGGACAAACTTGTTTGTTCTCCTGGCAGTCCATGGTATATTCAATACTCTTCTCCAGCACCAAAGCTGAAAGGCATCAATTCTCCTTCTATCATCCCTAGTCATTGTCCAGCTCTCTGATACATAGCAAGTAACTGCAAAGACTATGGCCTGTATCAGGCACACCTTAGTCTCCAGATTGAGTCTCATTGATCTTCAGTACGTTGGAGAGGTCTCTGACAGCAGACTTGGCCAATGCAATGCGTCCTTTAATTTCCTCGCTGCTGGTACAAAAAGTATTGAC